AGAATGTAGGTCATGTTAACTAGGAAAACATGTTAGATCTACCTTTCCTAAAAGATCTCAATCAATGTGTAATTCTAGTTTTTCTATTATCCATTATGATATCTAGGGAACTAGTTGTGTCTCCTCTCTTGGTTTTAGATATTTTATTACGTTTGTTGATGAATATTCCAGATGTACTTGGGTTTGTCTAACGAAAGTTCGTTCTGAATTGTTACCCATTTTCACATCTTTTTTAAATAAAATTAAGAACCAATTTGGTCAAGTAATCCAAATCTTAAGTGACAATGCCAAAGAATATTTTTCTTCCTCTTTTTTTTGCAATCTTGAGTTCCCATAATATATTACATCACATACCCTTTTAGTTGATGCCCATATTTTTGTTCATCACTAGGGGATGCCACCTTAACATGTTTTCCTATGAATAGGATGCCCTCCTCCTCTCTCAATCATAAAGTCTCTTTCTCCATTCTCTTTCCAAATGATCATCTCTTTCACACCTCTCCTCAAGGTTTTGGCTGTGTATGTTTTGTTCATGAGTCTCGAGAGCTAGACAAGTTTTCGCTCGTGTTATCAAATGTGTCTTCTTTGACTATTCTCAACTTCAAAAAGGGTACTAGTGTTATTCTCCTGAAACCAAAAAGTACTACATGTATGTCAATGTTACATTATTTGAAAGACTCCTTCTTCTCTCCATTTGTTCAAGATGTCCATATCCTCCAATAGGTCCTTCCTATTCCAGTGGTTGAGTCCAATATCTCTAATGTCTTTATCAGTCTAAGTCTTGATCAAAGTCCTCCTGAACCCTCCTCTCCACATATTGATATCCTCTGACACAAGACCCCAATGGATAGTCCACTTCCTCCAAAATGTGGTGAATCTCCTACTCCAGATTTTTCTCCAATGTCACTTCCTACTACGCATCCTGGTGTAGATGATTCAGGTTGGCCCATTGCCCTCAGAAAAGGTACTTGTTTCACTCAAAACCCTGATCCCATTTATAATTTTCTTAGCTATCAAAATTGTTGCCCTCCTATTATTCTTTTTTATCTTCATTGTCTTTTGTTGTTATATCCAAAAATGTGAAAGAAACACTTGATCATCCTGAATGGCGACAAGCCATGATTGCTAAAATGCATGTTCTTGACCATAGTAATACTTAAGAGCTTGTGCCCCTTCCCCCGGGCAAAAAGGTTGTTAGTTGTCAATAGGTGTATGCAATTAAAGTTGGCCCTAATGGTGAACTTAATCAGCTTAAAGCCCAATTAGTTGCAAAAGGGTAAACTCAGGTTTATGGCCTTGATTACTGTGACACTTTCTCTCCCTGACCAAGATGACTACCATTTGTCACTTCTTTGCAATGGCAACGATTCGTCACTGGCCACTTCATAAATTGGATATAAAAAATGCTTTCCTCCACAGCAATCTTAAGGAAGAAGTTTATATGGAGCAACCTCTTGGGTTTGTTGCTCAAGGAGAGTCTGGTATGGTCTACAAATTCCATTGATGTTTATATGGCCTCAAGCAATCACCACGTGCTTGGTTTGGAAAATTCAGCTCTATTATTCAAAAATTTGGTCTAAAACAAACTGGAGTAAATCATTCGGTATTTTACTGTCATAAATCTCTTGGAAAATGTGTTTACTTAATAGTATATGTTGATGATATAGTCATTACAAAAAACAATACTATTGGAATATCTCAACTGAAGAAGTACTTGTGTAGACATTTTCAAACCAAGGATCTTGAAAGTCTCAAATACTTCTTAGGCATTGAAGTAGTTGATTCAAAAGATGAAGTTGTAATCTCCCAAAGGAAGTATGCTCTTGATATTTTACAAGAAACAAGCATGATTGATTATAGACCGGTCAACAGTCCTATAGTCCCGAATCAAAAATTAACGACAGAAGGTGAGTTATTATCTGATCTAGAGATATATACGAGGCTGGTTGAAAAATTAATTTATCTCACTATTACAAGGAAACATTATTTCATGAAAAAGCAAAAAACAAAATGCAGTGGCTCGATCAACCATTGAAGCTGAATATAGGACAATGGCATTACTAGCATGTGAACTTATATAGGTAAAGCAGTTCCTTCAAGAGTTTAGCTTCTATGACATCCAGACCATAAAGATGTATTGCAATAATTAAGTTGCTCTCCAGATTGCATCAAATTCAGTATTTCACGAGAGAATGAAACATATAGAAATTGATTGTCATTTTGTTTGTGAAAAGTTGATGACAAAAGAAATATGTACCGGATTTGTTGGATCAAATGACCAACTCGTAGATGTGTTGACCAAGTCTTTAAAGGGACCTCTGATTGAGTTTATTTTTTCCAACCTGGTAAATACAATTTGTATGCTCCAGCTTGAGGGGGAGTGTTAGAATAATTGTATCTATGTATCATCATTTAGCCTAAACAGGGTGTAGTCTATTAGAATATTTATTAATCGTAGCTAGTTCTACACCCAGGTGTCTAGTGCAGTCCTTTACTATTCCATGTACTCTTGTATTTTCATTATAAATAGAAGATAGTGAGAGGGATCTCTTAGGCCCTCTAGAAATATATTTTTTTGTTTCAATCTCAAGTATACAAAGTCCAAGGGTTCCCCATGGTTTTCTTTGTCCATGGCATTCACATTCTTACAAGTTGTTAGATGTAGCTCAATGTTGCTATAAACTAACAACCAATGACCTTTGTGTCGAACTTTACCCCGTTCCAGTTGGCCACAGGGCAATAACCTTTAACGCCCTACACAATTGTAATAGTAGGAGGCTCACCCATCAACCTACTTTTGTACCAAGACAAGGAGTGCAACGACTTAGCCCAAATCTACTTCAACTAAAGGCTTGGTTGATCTTAAGGAAGAAGAAATTAGACCTTGTAGAGTAGCAAATGGGAGAGGTAGCCTATAGACTCAAGCAATCAGCTTGTTAAAACTCACCCCATATTCTATGTGAATCAATTGACTTCAATTAGACAAGATAGACCTAGAGAGGAATGTGCAAACTCACCCCATACTTTATGAGTCAATTCACTTCAATTAAATAAGATAGACCTAGAGAGGACTGTGCCAGCCCATGAGGGCACCACCACATGTTTTAGATTAACTTATTAAGAAAGAAAAAGAACGTATATATCATAGCCAAAGAACCAAGTAAAATCACTACATGTTTTCATCTTGGAATTTTTCTCTCAATTGGCATGGCACTGTTTTTTGAATTTCAATTGAAATTCACTATTTAATATCTTTGTTGCATTGCAATGAAGAGATGGTATAGTCACATGGATGAAGACAAAGATAGGACCTAATGTGACCCAACATAATCTTGTAAGTTTTCAAATGCTATTTGTTACCTGATATATTAGGTAATAAGTATGTATTTCAACACAATTAGTTTATGTTCAGAGTGTAATTTCTATGCATGGATAGTGTAAAACACCAACAATCAATCGAAATCATGATAGATACAACTTTCAAGGAATTGGTGTAAAAATTAACAAACTTATCATGTATGGTAGTTTGTAGCTAAATGACTATTCTAGCAAAAGCTAAAAATGCCTAATGCTGGAAGCACTCACTATTGGTAATGGAACTATGTTTTCTAATTTGATTTTCCTTGTCCCTATTGTGTAATCCCTCTATGTCGAGGGAGAACGCATCCTCTATCTTAACTGCCCTGTTTCTTCATCTGTTTCTTCATCTGTTTCTTCAAGGTAGTGTTGTTTGACTCATAAGATTGCAATGTATTAATTGAACCTCATGTGTGCCCTATATTTGCATCACGTACGGATGATTCAATAATAAACAGCATTGTTCTTGGAGTCAACTCTAGAAGTCAATACTAGCCAAACAATTGAAAACCACATATCATGGGGTTTCGCGCTATGCTCAAAAGTAGACTAAGAACAAACGTTTCAATGTTAATACTACTCATGGATCAGGTCAACCTAAGGACCGACATACAAATGAAAAGTGTCAGTATTTCAACAACTGAACAACACGTCACATACTAGATGAACCATACCTTTGGCTCAAGGTTTTTCAAAATGTAGAGCCTAAAAGCAAGAACTCATACTAGAGACGACATGGCCAAGAAGTCTTTACTTTAAACGCGACAACTCAAAAAAGTGTTGCACTGGCTGCAACAATCGAGAGGAAAAGAAAAAGCAATAACCCAAAATGCCCTTTTACAGGAGTGTTTATTGATGTGAAAGAGATGATGTTTGGGTAGGCATGTCATCTCCGTAGGCTTTACTCTTTGAAAAACTTGAGCTTGGGGTTGTGAACAGTCTAGTATGACACATTGTTTGGATGCCAAAATACCAACAATTTTGGTCTCTCTGTCTATCCTTAGGCCAACATGACCTACTGACGTGATCTATACTATACTATACTATCGGAGGATGCCGAAATACCAACACTTTTGCTCTCTGTGTATCCTTAGACCAACTTGACCTGAGTTGTATTTACCAACACTTTTGCCACTTTTGCTCTCTATGTCTATCCTTAGGATGACATGACCTATGAATAGTATTAACGGTGAAATGCCAGTCTATTCAGTCGTTTGGTGAATATCGCCCTCTAGAGTTGACTCCAAGTGCCGTGTCAACCATCCCTACGTGAAGAGAATCCTGAGACCCTTGGCAACCATCCCCACGTGAAAAGAATATAGGGCAGCAATCTTACGAGTCAAGCAACACTTCCATGAATAAAACCGATAAAACGGGTCAGTTAAGATAAGAGATAAGGGATACGTCAGTTAAGCTAAGAGATACGGGATTAAATAATAGGAACTGGGAGAAAGAAAGAAATCAGATTAGAAAGCACAGCTCCATAAGACTATAGTGAATGCTTATGGCATTAGGCTCTTTCACTTTTTGCTACAACAGCCAACATATCCCAAAATTTCCAACAAATTTCAACCCTACCGCAGTAGTTAATTAATGTATTCAAAAGAAAAAACGCAGTTTGAAGCCGTGAAGACAAACTCGACTAATGAAGAAGCTGAAAGCCCCTAACCTTTCTTGTGGGACTGGATCACCGCCTCGCCCTCATCCACCTCCTTCACCGCCACAACCGCCTCAGCCGTCGCAGCAACATCATCAGGATAACGCACAACAACCACAGGACAAACACAGTGATGCACACAGTAATCACTCACACTCCCGAGCCTCCCATCGCTCCCGCGTCTCACAGCACCAAACCCGCGGCTCCCCATGATGACCGCGCTCAGCCCGAGCCTCTCCACCTCCAAACACAGTCTCTCCTTCATGTCGTGGTCCTTCACGATGTGGATCTTGTACGGAATCTGCACTTCCCTTAACGGTTTGGCGAGATCCGCGGCCTTTGACGCCGTGAACGCATCGAAGTCGTCCTCGAGCTTGCGCTTGGTGGTGTGGTCGTTGTTGTTGACGGCGTTGACGGCCTCCTCGTCAGAATTCGGATCGGTGTTTATAGAGAGGTCGATAGAGCCCCAATCGGCGCCAAAGAGTACGTTCGTAGGGCTGACGTGGAGCAGGATCACGGCGTCACCGGGGCGGATGTAGTGCTGCACGGCCCAGCGCACCGCGTAGGCGCTCTCGTCGGAGAGGTCCACGGCCACGCCGATTTTGCGGCGCGCGCCAGCGGTGGGCGTGGGGGTAGCGGCCGCAGGGGAGGGGTGGCGAGGGGAAGAGGGATGGTGGATTTTGATTTGGGGCAGCTGCGGGTCGGAATCCAGTGCGGGAGGGTTCTGGTAAGGCTGCATTTTTTTCAAGGTTCTGGAGACTTTTGCTTATGTTTAGCTTAGTTAGTGAGAGAAGAAATGAAAGAGAACAATTTGAAGGATGGTGTTTGTATTTTTTTTTTTTTTTAGAGATATGGAGTAACGGTTTGTGTTATAAATATATGGAACGGTCTACGAGTTGGGCTTCGGGTTAACAGGTTAAGCCTACGCAGTGGCCCACTCGTGAGTTACAAGGCGTTTCTTTATATACTTTTATATTTTTAAAATTTCAATTTTATCTTTTATGTTTTAAATGGATAACGATACTTTAACACCAAAATTTGACAAACTTTTGACACAGGATACGTGCCGTAAGCCAATTGGTTCATGTGTATAATGTTTAAAAAAAATTCAAAATGAGGTGAAAAATGAAATGTTGGAGGGGTTTTGAAATGCGAGATTCATTTGGATGCATTTAAAAAAAAGGTCATTTGCGTAAGAGCATTGTACAAAATTGTTCTCCTTCCCACCAACCGACAAGCTTCGATCTGCCCACAAGGGTCACTGGCGTTGATGGAGTTTGAAAGTCGTCGGAGTGTCACCATTGACCGGAACTGTATATGCACCGCTATTCCGCTGTTTGGAGCGTACTTACCCCGAAACAGCCATTGGAGGTGGTTTTTGAAGCTTTTTAATGTTCGTTTCGATAATGCATTGTTTGTGTTCGGTGGGTTTAAGTTTTCTAAAAAAATTTGGGCATTTAGGGTTTGTTTTGTTATTTGGTTGTTTCTCGTGGTATGGTTAATTATGGTTTGAATTTTTGTTGAACATTTTCGCGTTTATGTTGTTTTTGGGTGGAAAGTTTGAATTTTTTTGGATTATTGGTTATAGTTGGGTTATTTTGACTTAGGTTTTCTATTATATTTCGTTTGACTTAGGAAAAACACACATTTATTTTCACCAAGGATGCTTTACCATGAGCAAAAGATACATCCTAAGTCAAAGAGTGAACTTCAAAAACAAGAAATGTAGGTTCAGTATAGTACTAGTACCATAATTCAAAAAAGTGGGGAGTTTAGTTATGACTTCTGCACATGAAGGTAGACTTTGTTTTGAATACATGTTTCCTATTTAAAAAAAGGTTTAATCCTTTAGTACATCCCTATTTAAGTACGAATGTCTCAATTGGGTCCTCGTTTTTTAAAGTGTATCAAAATGGTCCTTAATTTTGAAAATTCATATCAATTGAGTCCTTTCCGTTAAGTTGGATGGACGGCGTTAAAAAAATTCATGAGTGGATGCTGAGATGACGAACGAACGCTCGTCCACCAGCGAACGAACGCTCGTCCACCAGAGAACGAACGCTCGTCCACCAGAAAACGAACGCTCGTCGACCTCTTACTGCCGGACGACCGTTCGTTCCACACTGGACGAGCGTTCGTTCGGTGGTCGACGAGCGTTCGTTCGCTGATGGACGAGCGTTCGTCCGCTGGTGGACGAGCGTTCGTTCGTCATCCCAGCATCCACTCATCAATTTTTTTAACGCCGTCCACCCAACTTAACGGAAAGGACTCAATTGATATCAATTTTCAAAATTAAGGACCATTTTGATACACTTTAAAAAACGAGGACCCAATTGAGACATTCGTACATAAATAGGGATGTACTAAAGGATTAAACCTT